TCACCGCCTCCTCTCCTTTACTAGCATTTGTCCCTGTTCCGGAGCTTTTCCGGTTCTTCTCCCCTTGCAGCCGGGGCACATCAAAGCGTGGCCTCAGGCGGGCAGTAGACACCGGAAGGAGTAGCTGGAGCAGGGTCTGGTAAATCTGCCTCCCGCGTTGCACTCTATAAATTAATCGCTTCAGAGATCCACGTAGCACAAGTAGGCCAGTTCTATGCAAAACATAAAAGCGGAGATTGAGCTGTGCACGGGCGCGCGCGGAGCTGAATGGTGCTGTTAGTAGCCGACGCGCGGTTAGGTACGCAGTGCCGCAGCACTCGGCAGGGCTCCTGTGCACAAGGCTGCTCAGGCGTCCAGCAGCTCCGGAGGAGATGGAATAAGTCCGCTTGTCGTGGGCCTTGCCCACTGCTGGATTTGGGTTTTGTGTGGGCACCTTCTAGGGTCGACTTCAGAAAGAGAGTGGGTAGGAGTAAGCTGCCACCACACAGTTTATGTGACCTGTGTGCAGAGTATCTTCTATGATGGCAGTTTGGGAGCTGGTTTCCAGAGTGGTTCCCTCTTCGTCCTGCATATTCTGGTTTTTGAGAAGGATGTGGTGGGGTTTTGGGGCTTTATTTTTAACAAAATCAGAACGATTTCCCCTTGTTCTTATCATTTAGCTACCTGATACATGTTGTGGGCTGTCACAGAACTTTCCTTTGAGCCCGTGTTATGTGGCAGCCGTTACACAAAGCAGAAAAGTGGTTGGTTTCTTTTGTTGCTTGTATCTGTCTGAAAAACTTAGGCTGTTGGATCACTGTAGCGAGCAGACAGCTTTGCAGAAACAGTCTGCCCCAGCGAATCATAGTACTTGTTTCTTTTCCCTCCCTGCGTTGTACGTGCATGAGCTCTCTGCCTGTGAACAAGACAGGTGTTAGTGTTTCGTCTTCCTTTGACAGTGCCTTGAATTAACTGGTTAGTAGTCTGTCTTGCAAGGAAATTGGCTGGAGACACAGAGGTTTTACTCAGCAGATGGCGGTCCTCTGACCTGGTGCAGAAGAGTCAATTCTAGTCTGTGTTCTGCTTTGAGTAAGAAGCCCGAGTTCAGTTTGTGCTCAGTGAGGAAGAGGTCTCAGATAACTGCACTTACTTCTCCTGTAAGAGTCCAAAGTCAAAACAAAGTACAGAGGAATTTTCAGCATCCTGAGAGGATTTGAGGAACAGAAAACATAGAGAAAATTCTGTACTTTTGCAGTAAAGCGAGAATGTGAACATTTTAGGATACTCTTTTTTTTTTTTTTTTTCTTTCAGGTTTATACTATCAACTTGGAATCTCGTTATTTACTAATCCAAGGAGTTCCTGCGTTAGGTGTTATGAAGGAATTAGTCGAACAGTTTGCGTTATATGGTGCCATTGAAGAGTATCATGCTCTGGATGAATATCCAGCAGACCAATTTACTGAAGTTTATCTTATAAAATTCCAGAAACTGCAGTGTGCAAGGTATTGGACAGGGCACTACTGCCTCTTGCTGTCTTAATCTCCTACACCCTCTTTCTTTCCAACCTGTTAAGATTCTAGAGAGCTGAAGTCAAATCCGCAGTTTTGCCAATATATTTTAATTCCCTTCAGGGTGGCCAAGAAAAAAATGGACGAACGAAGTTTCTTCGGTAGTTTGCTGCACGTCTGCTATGCTCCAGAATTTGAAACAGTCCAAGAAACTAGAGAGAAGTTGCAGGATAGAAGGAAGTATATCGCAAAAGCAACAAATCAAAGAGGTTTGTAATTAAATTTCCTATCGAATCTTAGCATCTCATGTCATTGTTGTCTCTTCTGTAATTGCACAAAATGTGATTTTTCTTATGTGTTAGAACTACTAATGACATAAAATAGTGAAGCTACTTTTTTGTTGTTTTGAAGATTGCTTTGTGTTAAAGAAAGTAGAGGGACCGAAGAAGACGGTCTCTAGGAACTTCCAGCGTGGCTGTCCATGGAGTACGTCAGGCTCATGTGCAGTCAGTAACGGGGATACATCGTGCTTCACAAGTTCTCCCGGGGTATCCCACGACATGGGGTATCTGTCTGGGAGTCATAATCCGAGCCTGTTGATGTTTCCCCACTACAATAATGACTGTGCTAAAACTTCTGGGTACTCTGGTCAAAACCCATCCCTGACTGTAAGTGTACATCCGGGAGGACGTACTCCACCACCTTCCTTAATGCAGCAAAGAACGGTTCCGATCGATAATGGGATCGATAGGTTTATGCCTCGTACAACTCACTTGCAAGAACGTAAGAGGAAGAGAGAAGAAGGCAACAAGTTCTCCCTCGTTGGAACAAGTGTGGACAATACTGAAGTCATTATTGGTCCACAGCTTCCAGAAATACCTAAAGTGGATATGGATGATGAGTCATTGAATACTTCAGCCACATTAATTCGAAATAAACTGAAAGAGGTATGGGTTCTGAAAGTTCCGATCATTCCATTTTCAAACATACATATTATGTTCTTGTTATTTATAAAACCAGAGACCCTAAGATAGCTTGATTCGACCCTTATTCAGTACTACCAGTTTATTTGCCACCCAAAGCTACAGTTCTCAGCTCTTTCGTAACGCAGAGTACTGCAGGCCATTCCACGCCTCACCTCTTACGCTGCACTTCAGAAGGTGTTCCAGTGTCCCTGCATGGTCCTGAATGATTTTAGTAAACTACACTTTTTCCATGTGGGGAGGCATGATAGCTTTGGAGCTTGTCCTGCTGACTCCAATGTGGTACTTGTGTCTGGCTTCTGACTGAAAGGGAGTGAAAAATAATGGAGTTGGAGTTGTGTAATTTTGCTCCAACACTTCCTATGGCATTAAAAGATGTCCGGTACCGCAGATTCTATGCTGAGAGGCATGGCTTAAGCGATAGAACCTTTTGTGGAGGATATTAATCAATTAGCAGGTCAAACACTCCTAATATAACTTTCCATTTAGATTACGAGTTGAAAAAGCTCCCTTGGCTATGACTAACAAGACTGATTTGCAAGAGCTTATCTCCAGTCAAACTGATAATAAGCACCCCCTTACATTAAATGCATTTCTCAAATATGTGTGAAAACACTTTTCCTTTCCCTTTCCTTTTCTTCCTGGAATACCTGAGCTTAAAAAGCACACTGAGCCTTACTATGAAAACATCCCTACTAGGGAGAGGGGATGATACGTAACATGCTGTTACCCAGTATCTGAAATCAGTTTGTGTGGTTAACATACAAAAATGGTACTGCTAACACTTCTGTTTTCTACGTTTCACCTCTTTTCTGTTTAATGCTGTCTTTGGTGTTATTTTTTCCCCCTTTTTCTACAGGAAAATTCAGTATGAGTGTGATTACAGTAACATATCCCAAACACTCAAATGTTGAAGACATGGCCCTGCTCTAAAACTAGCATAAAAAAGGAGTGGCTACACTTCACTACAATCTCTTTTTTTCCCTCTAATTTAGGTAGCAGATTCTGTTTCAAGAACATCTGTGGAAAAGCCAGAGAGTAGCCCAGCCAAACCACTTGTAAAGCAGAGAAGAAGAATATAGATACTGCTGGCAGCATCTTCCAACAGTCCTTTTTCAAAGGATGTAGTTTAAAGTATGTTTTTATGTTAAAAATAAAACTATTTTATATTGCATTTTCAGGCAATTCTCTGTTCAAAATTGCGTCAGTTTGTTTCCTGCAGTGGACAAACCAGTTTAATATGTTACTGTTGCAATCTTGTCCTGTGCACCACATACTATAACACTTAATATCTATGATGTTTCTCACAAAGAACTCTAATGAGGTGGAGTAATAGAAGCAAATTGCGTTTATTCAGTAGCTTTTACAGTAACTTAGTTTCTAGTCACTCCTGTTTTTACCATGAAGAATGGTGAAGAGAAAAACTTTTATGCCAGTATTCCATCTGGGGTTACAGTTTATGAGTTTCCCGGAAGGTTTTCTGTTCAAATGCCATACTGCTCTGTTTACAAAGGGAGGGAAAAAAAGTAGTTAATTTTCAGTTAACTAAAAGATTTTAATTGAATCAGAAAAGATGCTAAACTAAAATGCATAAGCAGTGACAGTCCTTACGCTACTTCTTGCCTTGTAGCTTAGAAAAGGTAAATTGTATAGCATTAATGATGTCATCCCTGAGAGACCAGCCAGAGTTAGCACTGAGTGGGAAACTCAGATGGGAACTGGCAATGTGTGACCAAGGAATTATCTGGCAGGGATGGCAAGAGGGCCTGCCTGCCCAGTGAGTTAAACTGGTTGCAAGCTGGAATGCCAGAGACTGAGAGGACTTAATGTAAAGGAGTGAAGTTTCCTGGGGTGATAAGAAACACCCGCAGCGTTGCGTAGTAACAGTCTGTTGTAACGGAGTGGGAGCACTTAGGGGCCACCTTTGGGCTGCAGAACTCGCACTGGGGGAATGAACCCAGTGCAGGGCTAAGGTGCCCCTTGCTGACACTGGCAGTGTATGTATGGAATTGGCTCACGGGGCATCTTTACGGACGACTCCTAGAACTGCTTATGGTGGTAGAACTCTGTCCAATACAGTGTTTATTCTGTTTTTTTAAAGTATACTTTTAAGTAGAAATGAGTGTTTAATTTGTGCCAAGGGGGTACAATTAAAATTCCCCAACATCACCCCAGTGGGAAAGCTAGTAAACTAGGGGTTTACTTCACATAAAGCTCATAGCCAAAATTTTATTTATTGCTTTTAGGATTTGAAAGGATGTGTAAATAGGGTTCTCTTTTTAATCCTAGTGAAACTAGAGACCTAGTAAAAAGGCAACAGCTGGGTAGGGTACAGAAGAGAGTGTACAAATACTGTAAGCAAGAAACAAGCTGAGTTTTCCACCTTTTGCCATGATCACCCTGAACTGTGCACCTGCTTTATCACCAACACTGACAGGAAGCAAGTTGCTGTCTGTGCTGATCAGTAGACGCAGGTCTGTTCAGAAGTTTTTAAAAACCTTTTCACTGGTGTAAAAACCAGAGTACTTACTGGGCTTTTCCCAGACCCTTGAAAATCTTGTGACAGTCTGCCAAAAGTTTGGCCTTTTGGCAGCAGCTGCCTTGCAGCTGAGGTGATGTAATACAACTTGCAATCACGGCTGCAAGACTCTCTTCCTGTCCTCCAGCCTACCAGGTAGGAGAGATGGCAGGAAGTGGAGGTTTCCAGCTGTCTTAGACAAGTTTTCTGTTTCTAGGAATGGCTTCATGTATTTCAGAATTTTGTTTCACCATCTCTATGAAGGCACAACTTGCAGTATTTAAAAATTCGCAGTTCAATCAGAATAATGATTATGGGATTAGGAAAAAAAATATTATTACTGAGCAGAAACACTCTCCACAGTTGAACTTAACTGAGGAAATGAGCATGGTCTGAATTAGCATCTTCCAAAAAAGATAATCTGAATTGCATTAGATGTATTGCTAAGAAATAAAGCCCAGTTAGTTGTAATTAAAAACCAGCAGTGCCACTCTCTGAGATGAACAACACTCTTGAGGTATTTCTTTCAGCAAGTCACCGGCCTCTCCCAAAAGAGGCTGTAAGCGAGGTGATGGCAGCGTTGCTAGTGGTACTGAAGAAAGAGAAGGTGCATTCCTGGAGAGCTGTCAGATACACAGTTCAAGAGAACGGTCTCATTTTCTTAGTGTGAGAGGGTGCTCATTGAGGATCATTCATTCTACTGCTGCCCCGGGACAGACAAACTTGGAATAACTGTGTGTTCTTATATTCCCTGGTGCCAGCGTTGGACAGCATGATGAAACACGGGCGCTGTGAAAGGTAGATAGGAACGCTGCACGTGTGTATCTCACAGCCAAAGCGTGTATCAGCTGACCTCAGCAGACCCCGTGTCATGACAGTTAATAGCGTAACACACACAGCTCCTTAACAACAGTACAGAGAGTGTTTGCATATTTTTTTTAACTCGAGGTTGATGTACCTTTATGTCTGGCAAACATGGTCCAAAGGCTTCTAAGAGAAGATTCTCATCTCTGACTGCTTTTTCAAAGTCCGTAAAAGAAAGCTTGCCATCGTGGTCGTGGTCCTACGAAACCAAGAGGGGCACTCTTCAGCAAAGGACAGTTACCTGTAGTAATGGTATTTTTGTTTAACAGGTAATTTCTTGACATGGATTCTATTTTTAGTCAGGTCGTTTTCTTTGGGCCACCAGTCTCTGCTCAGACAAGATCTGTGTGATTTTGCCTGTACCTAAGGCACAAAGGGTGGAGCGAGCTCAACAATCTCATATGGCTTTGCTAACAGAATTCCAGATAAGGCAAAACTTTAACGTGGAAAGAGGCTGAGCATTGCATGGACCAATCTCAAACACAGTTGGACTGAGATAAATTAAAAGTAGGAGAAAATGTTAGGATATATTCTGTAGCTGTAGTCACAGATTCACAGAGTGGACGGGGTTGGAAGACTGCACCTACATCCTATTCCTAAGGCTGGAAATACTTTACCCTAGCGGTTTCTATAGTACAGGCACACCTCTGTCCTCTTTCTTTCACATCCAGCACCTTCTGGGTGCTGATGTCAGCCCACTTCTCTCATCCTGCAGAATCAGCACAGCAGAATATTCCTCTGGGGGCAGAAAAAGCATCCTTATGGTTTTAGTATTTCTGCAATTTGAAAACTTCCTGTTTCTACTGATGTGGCAGCTTAAGACATCACCAAACACTATGGTGAGCTTTAAACCATACCAAACAAAGGCTTTAAGTGAAGACGGATGGGTGCATATGGCTAGTGTTGAAGGCAGAGGGCCAAATCAAAATGTTTGAAGATCAAGCCATGGAACCATCACAGCTGGTGAGCATGCAGGGAGCACCGGCAAGAAAAGCAGAGGCAAGGAGCTGTGTAGACAGAGATTCCTGAGCAGGAAAACCTGCCACTGGATGCTTCAGAGAAACTGAAGTGGCTGGGTACCCTACACCTTTTACCCTCCTCAGCACAAGGGAGGCAGGGCATGAGCACGTTCATGACAAACACTTTCAAGCATGAGAACGGTATGATGGGGCTGGATGTATGCTCAGTCACAACACCATGGTACCTACAGGCAACTGCGACTAATTTTGAGTGATGGACTCCACAAACGCGTTTTTGGATATCTAGTAATTCGTTAGTTATTTGAGGTGGACAGCAATATCCTACTCAGACAACTGCCCAGCAGCCACAACAGATCTGGACATTGTTTAATCATGTATCATGGCTTCATTAAGTTGTCATGGAAAAGCTGAAACAGAATTATGTGCACGATTAGTTTCTAATATGTTCTTACACATAGGAAGATAGATTATGTCTGGAGCACAGTGCTTCTACTTGGACTAGCACAGCCCACCGATCAACTGCCCAGAACACGAGGGTGTTCATTTTGGATGCAACCGGCAGGCAAGCTGCATGTGTAGGTGCTCCAAAGAAGAAGGAATTGCTGAGTCACAGCTTGCCCACTGCGTGAGAGCAGACTCGGTGTTGTCAAGAACTAAGGGTCAGATGGACCTTTCAGCAGAGGCTCTGCAAAAGGAGTGGGTTTGGAAAACAGAAGATGGGATTAAATAAAGGGAGTTGGGATTCAAGAGCTGATTTTAAGTGAGATTTTTGAACACCACCATAGGATTGGAGGTTGTATTTCTTCATTTGATGAAAATGTTGAAACAGAGTCCCTGGCTGATCTGGATATCCTAGCTTAATCACAGTAATACAAGTTTTACATTAATAACCTTGAGGTTACTATTCTAGCAGAATATATAGATTGGGTAAAGACATTTCATGATCAGTTGATAAAACACAAATGTACTCAGTAACATTTAGCCACTGCAGATGTCTAATGCTGGAAAAAACGCAGCATATGCTTTGGAATTTTCCACTTTCGACTGGGCTTTTGTTTTGACTGGGCATGTGCATGTGTGTATGCACACATACACATGCTAGATTATACATAACATTTGTAATACACTCACATAATAAATTAACAGTTTCATGTGAGGATACTGGATTAGGAGTCATTAGATCTGGATTGTATTTCTGGCTTTCCTTAGAAGTCTTGTTTATCTCAAGTACATAACTAACTCCGTAGCTCAGAATCCCACAGGAAATCAGACACGGTATTTTGTTACCTCGTCGCAATGTTCTAGCATTCAGTTAATGAATGTTTGAAAGGCACTTAAGTATTACAGTGAGAAAGTACTTGCCATTTTCTTCAGTGCTATGTCTACCAAGTCCTTAATTCCCTCATCAGGATCTTCTTCTAATGGTTGTTTGAGAAGGCTGTTTTTCAGCATTTGAAACATTTCCTCTCTTGAAATGTATCCATCACCGTTCAGGTCATAAACCTCAAAACAGTCTTTTTGAAAGATAAATCAATTTAAAGTTCATACAAATTATATCACACTTTATTATATTAAAGCTGTCTCTTACCTATAGACAGAAAATGTGAATTGCATGTTGTACAGCCTATCTACTGAACCACATCATATATAATCTTTATATATGAAATATATGCATCACATTCTGATACACATGCTAGTCAATTATTGCCTATTTATCCTT